CCTAGTGATTCGGAGAATCCTTTGCATTTCACAAGGGCAGCTTCACCACAACATCATAACAGAACACGACACTTTCTCATTCCCTCCATCGGAAGTATTAGCGCTAAATTAAACGGTCTGTCCTCGGAAATCATTTCCAAAGCGCTTGTTTTCGTCAAACTCGAAGAATTAACATTATTCATTCTATCAAAAAAAGATCAGTTTGAATGAGACTATCAACCTGTGTAATGCCATCGCGAGAAAAGCCTGCCCATGATTATTTTATGGAGAGAGGTATCTTGAGCAATCCGAATCTGACAAATTTTAGGTGTTTGATAAGTAGAATGACGATCGAAACAATATAAACAATTGCGTAAAATGTAGCTTCAGAACTCCGTAGGTTGTGTTTTGAATTGTATGTGGTGGGCTCTCGTTACGCCGATTTGTGGCCACCTCTGACGAGTGCCTCAATTTTTGCTTCATGAAGCTCTTTGATGGCTATGAATGATCCTTTTCTAGGTCATGGCAGGCAGAAAATGGGTGTCCACTAATTTGAAACCGTAGCAAAAATTGAGGAGCAATCGTCGGTCATTTAAAATGCGTGAAGTCTACGCCGAATTGAGGAGCTAGTAATGAATCCTCCAAAATTAAGTAAGTGCCGAAAAGAGCCCTTATTGTCCTTCTCCTTGTTGCTTTCTTAACAAATGAAAGTAATCAAGACGTGAATGACCACATGGTTTCTTGAAGCTTGCCTTGCTTCTGAGGCAAACATCTACTTTCTCGTCAGTCAAAAAAGTTTTCCGGATTTGTCAAATTTTCAGAACCCGTTAAAGCGGTTTTTCAAATGCCTGGAACTGGTGGTGAAGGTTAATCGCTCAAAAGCTCTGGTTGCTCAAGTCGAAGTTGAAGTTTATGCGAACTACTTTCATCATCAGAAAAGGAAGGACAGAATGTTCGGAAGGTCGAAAAGGATCATGATAAGTGGAGAGGTAGAAACTACAGAAGTTTCTCTAAAGAAAGAATGTCTAAAAAGCTGACTTTTTTGCGTTTTATTTCCATGGAAGAAAAAAGTAAAAATAATTACCCAGAAGAAGCGTTGCGAATGAGCGGAACTCAGTAGGCGTTTAACGACTGCAAGAGATGTGAAGTAAACTAGTCCGGCGCAGTGGGGTGGATACGTTTCCTCATTCCATTCCTCTTTCGTTACAGTCCTACAAAGTGTTCTATACATATTGTGAAAATGTTCTTCGGGAGCATTTGCAACAAGAACAAAGAGCATAGGAGCGTTTTTTGCAGTTTTTCACTCACTCCCGAGAGTAAAAGTTTACAGGAGGGTCACGGTAGTGTGTGTGCACCATGAAAGTACATGCACCAGGAAGCGGATGTCAGACGTATCAGTAAGCGAGACGTGCTGATATTTCTGTGGCATGTGTCAAATTTGAGCATGATGCTTGCTGAAATGATGGTGGCTATCGGTTTAACATGTGCAAACGACCTCTAATTGGTTGCTAGCTCGTCCATTATCGGAGGTCAACGGGCAAAGAAAGGGGTCCCATTTTGCGCGTTTTGACGGATTTCTTTGCTTTTTTCGCCACTGGGGCATTATTCAGCATCCACTTCCACTATGAACCCAGTCCAATCTTATCGTAATCCCTCGTTGCTAAGCAAGCCTTGTGATTGACCTTGGTAGCACGAAGGACCGTGTGGTAAATTGCAGTGCCTATCTACCGAAAGCGTGCCACACTCATCACCAAATGAGCGGCTGGAGCGCTAATCGTTAAGGACTGCAACTATCGATCCCCATCGCATCGCTTCCCGTCCACTACGGTGAATAGCGGTCGAAGAAATCCTCAACCATGACTCTAGTGTTTGTAGACTGCGTAGAGAGTGTGCGCGGAGGGCACACGGTATTGCGCGTGGCGAACAGGCAAAATCCTCGATGGTTGAGAAATCCTGACGAATTCCCGCGACTGATGTGCAGATCAGCGCGCTTTCTAGGACGGTGCTCTCTCGTGTTCTCTGTAGCTATGCTCGCCTTCGTACTACACCCTTGCTGGAATTTGAAATCTTAAGTTTAGCGTTCTCCGATTGCTTCTCCTGCTTCACTTCCAGTTCATTCCGCAGCATCATCAGCATGATGCGCTCTTGTATCCCAGTCTAATCCCGGGCTTGCATTTAGCTGGACATCCTTCAGGTATGTATGAAATAGGACAAAGCCTCACACAGATCGTTGTGTCGATGGTGCCATTTAGACGGGTTGCGAAGACTGAATATCCTTGGGGGTTTTTCATCTCACTGAATCTAGGCTTTTCACATCAATGGACGAGTACTAGCTAGCACAGATTTAATAAAGGCTTACAAGCAATGTGAATTTTGATTCCCTCTTCGTCAGACGGCTCACCCTTACCAGGAAAGGTCATTTGGTCAACCCGGCCATTTGAAATGAGATGTATATGTGTATACGCGCCTTGGGACGCTGAGCTCAAATATGTGTTCCTTATCTGCTGAACTCTTCTCTGAAAGGAATTATGAAGCAGAAAAGCGCAGGGGCTGTGGTCGAGGCTCACGAAAAAGAGGTCAGGGGATCAACTCCCTGGCGAGTTTGTTCTTTTGCCGTTTGCAGTAAGATAGCTAGGAAGATTCCTAACATTCGCTAGTCCAACATGCTTGCGTATAGTTAAAAGTATTAGGTTGTCGGAAATAGTCTGGCCGTTTCGATCTGCATGTCGTAAACTCTTCAGG